GCCAATGGATGGGAATCCAATATGCAAACGCATACATCATCTTCGTACAGCTGCAAATTACACAGACAAAGCTGTTCAAAGCAATGAACCGGTCGCCCCTCACTAAATAGGTAATGGAAAATGGATGCTTAATGAATTCATCCAATTATGGCCCTCATTCAATTCATGTACAAGCACCTTAACTACGAATGTTTACTGTTTATGGCGACACAGAGTTAGAGGTTTCTTCGATTAGGCATTCTCAGAGAGCAAGCTTCGGGTAAATGCTGTGAGACATTGCGATTTGGATGATAAGCGAACGTCCGAACGAAGCTGCCATGTAATCCCCCTTTGAGGCAGCCGTGCAGCAGAAAGGACCCGCGAGCGCGGTGGCGGCAGCAACCAACAAGTGGGAAGGAGGAGGAAGGGCCCGACGCACCTTGAACGCCGGCGCCTCGTCGCGTATAATCCGGCAGAAGACGCAGCTCTCCGCCTCCCGATCCCCCACGCGACCGGCCGCCGCGCCGCGGTCGTCGTCGCCGCACGGGGAGGCAGATATCACCGTTTGCTGCCCGGCCGGCCGCTCATTCTCGGCTGGAGGCTCGGCGCCGTCGGGCCGGAGGTGGGAGCAGAGCACGGCGAGGCGCCTCGGCGGGGACATTTGGGAGTGGGTAAGGTGGTCGCGTGGGCGTGTGGCTCGTACGCGGTTCGGCGGGTCAACGACAGTGAATAATAGCTCACCAGGCCGGGCCTCAATCAGATGAATCAGGGCCAGCCCGAGCCCGGCCCAGTTCCAGCCCTCGACGACCTCATCGGGTTCGTCGTCTTGGGCCAGCGTAACAGCCTCATCCTCTCCCATAGCTTCATTCCGTCTCGATCTCTGCCTTCTCCTGAGAGACTCGTATCAGTCGGCTGCCCACCATCGCCGGTCCAAGAAGCCGCCTGCTCGTCGGCTACTCCGCCGCCCCACTCGCCCATCCACCCACCTCCCTTCCCCGGATTCAGGACCGGATCGGCCTTCCCCTGTAAGTCTTCAACTGGTCGGTGCCCACTCCCCCTCGCCGAATTCTTGACCAGTAGTTTTCGGCGATCCGTTCTTGGTGGTAGAGCGTAGTTCCGTTCCGGTAGTCGATTAGAATAACCGCGAATTTGCAACAACTGACATGCGATTCTGATAAATTGTGATGTGCTGCGTGTAGTGTACAGGGTCGATCGTTGGAGTTCCCCGACCGATCTTTCTAATACCGTCTGCCTATATTTCTTGGTAAGCCCCGGTTGACCAGTGTCAGTGTTCCGCTGAATTATTGAGCTATCTTTCTGGTCCGGGTTTAGTTACTGGCTCTCTCTGTGCTTTGCCTCGATTAGATTACTGCACATATTTGACCTGCCTGGCCCTGACTTTTTAGTGAAGCTTAACGAGTCTGTGATGTTCTTTGTCACCTCTGTTTTTTTGTATGTATCATTCAACAGGATGTTCTTTTTAGGAGGCACAGACCGTGGGAACATGATTCGACCCTTTTTCGTTCCCCTTGTAATAAATCTAGTGATTTTGACTCGTGTTTGGTTACTAGAATGAAATGTATATATATTTTTTGTTGGAGATTCTTTTAGTTACATGTGAAAACTTTTGTTGACCAACTAGTGAATTGCCCTATGCATAGTAACATAATTGTGGAAGATCTTATAGTTCCTAACCAATATAGAAAAAGGAAAGGGAGAAGAAAGGTTGTGCGAAATATCTAATTATTTGACCTCACTATTTCTAAGAGACAATTTGTAACGAAAAAAATTCTTTAATAATTAATGTGGCCAACTCTGATTTCTTAATCTGTTCGTGGTATTTAGACATGATCCAGTGTCCATGTCATCATACTCTTTCTTTTTCTCTAGCTGTAGATGGACATCACAATCAATTCCTTGACGTACAAAGGTTCGATTCCAGATGCAATTAATCAATCAAGAAGGGAGAAAAAACTCTTTGTAATTTACATATCAGGTGAGTTTGTTGTTGAATTCAACATCTTGTAGCTATGCTATCTATGTCATCCTTTTTGGTAGCCTGACAATGATAGGCAATATCCATGATTGTTCTGCATAAGGAAACTATACTATCCAGTACAATCCTGTCTGGACTGATATTCTACTATTTGAATGTAGTCCAGTCTATTGACAGGACATCTATTGTTTCATTTCAGGTCAAGATGAAACCTCAAGTAGTTTGGAACAGTCTACATTGGTTGATGAACATGTGGGTTCCCTTGAACTTCCTCCCTTGTACAGAAGATTATTTTCTGTTGTGGTAGTTACATATTGAATTAGCAAATTGCTTATGGGGGGTATTCGCAGGTGGCTGCAGTGATAAGCAGATGTTGCATATTCTTGCAACTAAAACAAGGCAATGTTGACGCGCTTCAATTTTCAGCTATCTGTATCCTTCCACACACATATTTGTTATGATACTGTGGTGATGATTGCTCTGGATTAGCTGCTGGATTGACAGCATGCTATTGATTTAGAGCTCTAGATTAAATATTTGACAGTCTTCATCTATAAGCCTTAGTTCACAATTCTTTTCGATCGCGAAACATGTTAGTCACATCATACTGACATCATGGAGAGTTAGTGGTTTGATAGAAAAACATAAAATAATTTATCACAGATTGAAGTAGTTCTTCAAAATTTCCATGGCAAAAACAGAGAAATGGTTTGCTGCAATAAATATGTTGGTATCATATTTATGTAACACCACAAACAAAATTTATGTAAAGATTAGTCCTCATGTGCGATGGATCTACATATTGCCCTCTTGGGGTATCGTTCTTGTTTTGCCCAAAATGACCAGTGTTCAGTTACTCTGTTTTGATTCCCTAATTCAAGCATTATATGTAGTCGGACTAACCTAGCAGTACTACTACACTTTGGTGGTTAGGCCTTTGGCACTTTGTTAGTGAGGTTTGAAGAAATGAATCATCCTTTTTTTTTTGGTCTCATCTGATCTTCTAATTGATTATCGGACATATATCGTACAATCCATGTATGGTTGTCGAGATGTGTCCATGCCAAATGATCCAAATCCATTGGAACCTTTCCATTCCCAATCCTACATAGTATCTAATTTATGTTGATACATATGTTTTAGCTAGACTCATATGGTTTTGAGACCACATTGTTCGATCTATGACCCTACCAACATCATACAGTAGTAGAATCCCACGATACAGGTCTTGCCAACACAAAAACGAACCATCTAATGTTCCCATCCCAGAGTCCTTCTGATCATGTTGGATTTGCTTATTCACTGCTATAGTTATAATGTGGGTGCTATACGTCTATACCTGCCCTCGTACTTTTCATAGTTTCAGTATATTTCCCACATTTTTTAGCGCAGCTATTTTGGTACTTGTATGATGTATCTCATCTTAGCAACCATGGAACTGGTCTTGCAGCTAATGAAGAATCCGTTTGTTTATTCATGTCTATAATCACAATGTTCTACTTTGGTTGTGCAGTTTCATCCTTGACTTTTTCTCAATCAGATCCACAGAAGTCTGTCCCAAGTATATCTGTCGTTGGACTGAATGGTGCTATGCTATGGAATCATGGTATGAATACAACTATGCTTCCAATTTTCTTTGTGGAAACTATCTTTCGTTAAGTGACAGTTTGGACCAGTGCTTAATTGAGTCTTCTGGCAGAGGGGTATATTAGCCCAGAAGAGCTTAAGGAAAGCATTGATAAAGCTTGGGCTGCACTTCAACTGCAGGTATATAAACTGTAAAACATAGATCTGTTGTTAAAGTTTATTACAAGCCTGTTCCGTAGTTATTTTCAGTTGCATTCATTTCTATACTTGCACTCTTTTTATAACTTTGAGTGGCAGAGTTCAAATGGCAGGAAAAGATACCGGAGAAATGGTAGGTGCAGCTTGCCTAGGTATAATTGCAATTATATGATGTTAACCAGTCAATCTCTAAGCAAAATTACTTACTTGAAGAACTATAATTTGTATTGTCCCTGTGTCAAATCTTGGGGTAAAGATTGAAAGACCAGGGTTGCAATTATACACAGTGCATGATATAGGGGCTGTAGTTGGTTCGTGCGGGCCATAGCGAACTCTTAAAGGCGCTACAGCTGCACAAAGCGATAAACTGCTGTATAGCATAATGTGCTATTTAAAGCACTATTTGGTACCAACAAATAGAACTATGTCGGTGAGGGTATAACATAAATAGTGCCTCTTCTTGTCTCTTTTATTTTGGTCAATTAATTGTCGAGTTCGTAAGTTAAATTAAATTCTGCCACATGCCAAATGATATGACTTTATAATCATATCACTATAAATAAAAATATGTGGTACAAATCTGGAGTATTATTAATGTTCATGTGCATGGTTCAGAGAAAGTATATTAATCAATCTAAGAAGATAGGCGACTCTTTTATTAAAATTCAGTAATATACTCATGAGTGATCTGACCTCCTTAGATTCCGCTTGAGATGTTTTGGTTCCATAACAACAGTGAAAAAGTGTCATTCTTGTATTGTTTAAGATCTTTACTTGTGTACTGTTACATCAAATCTGGTCTTTCCTTATTGAACTACAGGAAAAAGTATGTTTGAAAAAAGAAAATAAGAGTGGTCTTCCTCTCCAGAGGAACCATAGGAAATCTTATAATTTTGTTAGTTGTTACTGTATGATCCATGTTGGATTATTCTTCACACTAGTGCAGTAGTGCTATAGATTTGCTAAATACGAGATACTTGGGATCTTTTTAGGAGACAGCGGCAACCCTGTTAGCTGCATCACTTGCTTCAAGAATGTCTGAACCTGCGAATACTGCTTCGACAACTATGCCTGGTGAAGATGGTTCATCTACTTCAGAAAATCATTCCAATTCATCAGGTCAATCCTCAGAGTCTTCTGCAGTCCGTGGGTTTGCTAATTCTACTGCTTTGGTAGCACAACCACCTAGTAGCACAAGCCATGCTGTAAGTTTGTCTGTCCATAGTCTGCTACCTTTCAGTTGAATGAAGTTTTGTTCGGTATAGTGCATGAGAAAGAGAAGGGATAACTCACTGCTTGCATATGCACCAGGAACTTCTCAAGACAAGTAAAATCCCAAAATCAGATTCAGCTCCATGCAACATAACCGCTGAGGAAAAGCTAGATTCAGCATGTCAGGCTCTGTTGCCAGATTTTCCAGCAAGCTCAAATGTGGACAGTTCCACAGATCCAAATCAGACAGGCAGTACACCTTCGCCAAAAAGGAAGAATATGGTGGATGGGAATAGCACTAAAGTTCCCTCCAAGCCAGCTTCTAGCATACCAACTAGGAGTACTCCACAGTTGCCTGTGGAACAAGATAAGGCAACTACTAGCAGAGCTATTGAAGTGACCACAGATTCTGCAAAGACAGATGATATTCAGCTGGCCATTCGTATGCCTGATGGACCTAGTCTGCAGATTAAACTGACAAAAGAAGATGTTTTAAGGAAGGTGAAGACTTTTGTGGATGAAAACCAAGATAGTGGGATTGGATCATATAATCTTGCAATGCTTTATCCTAGAAAAGTGTTCACGGAACAAGGTACTGAATCTTCACCCTGCACCTATGGACATATTTAGAATATAAAGCTTTGTTTTATCCTGCATCTTGACCAGAGACCAATCCCATTCAGTTCTCTACTTCAAGGGACTTAACTCACAGTCTTCAGTTTTTGCATGGACGAGGGCTTGTTCTTTGTTATTAGTCGTTAATTAGCTGCAAATGAGCAATAACTTGCCTCCTGGATTGAAATCTATGATAAGCTTCTTTATAATAAAAAAGTGTGCTTGCATGTTGCACAAACCTGCTTCCTACTACCAGTGGGGGAAATTATTTGTTGCGTGTCATTGCATTTTCTTTGAAATGATGATAAATAATGTGTATCATTGATAGCTGTGTATAAATACCCAGCAAAGAGAGTAAATAAACTAGGGCAGAGAGAAGCTAGCATTAAATTCATAAGGCACAGTTCATAATAAGAAGAAAAATTGAAATGCTCGCATGCTTTATAAATGGTACAGAGTTAGCAAGACTTAAGACTAGTTAATTTTATGAGGAATATAGCATGTAAAATATATGCGGTAATAGATTTTTGTAGATAGATTTTTGTACCATCAGGTATTCTTCCCCTCTGCCTCTACTCTTCACCATTACTTATCCTAACCATTCCTTCCGATCTGTGAAGGAAGGTGCAAATCTTCCTTTGCTAAGACCAAAGCAGCGACTTGCAGCGCAATTTTTGATGTGGCTTGGACGATTTTGCCCCTCCAGTTATAAGCCCACACGCAATCTTCTCACCAGTTGGCAGTTGCCATATCTTCGTTGTCTTTGCTTCATATCTGTGCATGCAAATGGCCTCACAGAAATCCACGTGATATCTGGTATCCACTCCATGCATGCAACCTTTTGATATATCTTACAATCAGCGGGGCAATGCAAATAGGTTACATTTATAGACAAAAATATACTGTTTTCATCTTCATGACTACACAAATACAAACACAATTTATGAAAAAATAATTCTAAATTATATAACCAATGCATCATGACTAATTTGCAATACTGGTACGCCAGAATAAAAGAAGAAATCACTAACCTAACTAATTTCATCTAAATCATGAAATTGCTGCTGCCTGATGTAGACCTGTAACACGTATGATACAAATCAATGAAGCAGAGACTGACTGTAGGATTTTCGTGAGCATCGCTGCGGTCGCCCGACGGGGACGGAACATAACTGCTTCGGCCGTTGCCGTCGATCAGGATCGGTTATGCAGTGCCGTCTGCGCCCAGCCCTTCTCCTATAACTACCGTAGAGACAGGCACGCAGCGAGGGTTGTGTGTCGCGTCGGCGCCGAAACAATGGATAGACGATGAGGATTCCCTAGACTAAACAGGCCGTTTTGACCAACTAGTAATGGGCCTGTAGCTGGGCGTGTGGGCTTCAAGCCTCGAGCACATCGTTTGGGGGGGGGGGGCAACTATTCCTTAATCAAATTAATCTACGACCTACCTACCTACTACTCAGTATGACACAAGCAGACTTCTCTCTCCTCACTGCTGGGGATTTCTGGGTCTGCCATTGAGAAAAGGAAAGAGGAAGAACCTCGCTGTGGAAGAGAAAAGGAGAAGGCGAAGGGATAGGGGAGGCAAGGAGTTACTGTGGAATGAAAAGGAAAGAAAAAGGAGACGTCCTAGTCGAAGGGGTATGCAGGTGGATGAGTTGGTGTGGACCGTTGGAGGGGTAAAATTAGGAAACAGATGGAAGAATTGAGGTTGAGCCTTGTTTTACAGAAATTACACGAAAAAAAAATCATGTCTTGCTTATAGGAACAGAGTGATTCTTGGTGAGAATATACTATTAGTATTTGCATGTGAAATATCTAAATATTTTGTGTACCATTTTGAAGATCTACGCGAGTGTCTTTTTGGCTTAAAATATACACCAAAGGTTGGCTTGAAGTTTTGCTTCACCAGGACTTTCCTGATGAATTACCAGGACTTGCACTATATAGGCATAGTGTTAATCCATTTATTTGCTTAACGTTTGGTTGCACACGGCCACACATTCTAATGCACCATCTACTTGGTATGAGTGATAGTATGGACTATGAAGTAAGGCTTTCATTTGGTCCATAAGCTGGTCAACGTATGCTTGAACTCTGTCTTGCTATTAGTTCAGATAAGTAATCTTTTCATATAGACTTCAAAATAAAATCCTGCATGTGAATCCCGCTCTGCTGGTTAACTTTAACTTCCTGGGCATTTGACTGTAATGATGTAAACTTGAATAAGGTGTTTCGGGTATGGTCCCATTGTGTTTTACTTGTGTGCTGAGATTGCATCACTTTTTTTTTCAAACATCCATGTTGTGATTTTATACAAGACTTTCTATTTGGAAGCTCATTACTTCATTATACTAACTTTGGATCATACTGTTGAATTGTTGGATCTAACTGATCATCAAATTTTTGTTCAGATCTGGAAACCACATTGTATGAGCTGGGTATTGAAACCCGCCAGGCCCTTGTTGTCGTTCCGAATCGTCAATCTGTTAAAGTGGTAAGGCACCAATCGTCATTGCCATCCAGTGATCTGGATCGCACTGGGGCTACAGACAGGTCGGGTGGTTGGGGTTTTCTGGGGGCAGCGTTATCATACGTGAATCCATTGTCCTACTTGAGAGGAAATCCCACCCCATCAAATCCTGATCGACTGGGAAATGAAGGCTCGCAGCAGTACAGTATGTTTTCTTATCTAGATTCTTCTGCTGATATTTCCTTGTTGGTCTGTTATTTGGATTGATCGTGATTGCAGAGTAGTATTTTTGAAAAAAAATCCCACTTCTGACTAGTGAAATTATGATTACTTCTCTGGCAGGACCGAACTCTGAATCCCAACCTCTTCGTAGTGATGGAAGTCAACAAACAGCTACTCATAGCTCTGGAAATACCTTGAGAAGGCGGCCCCGACAGTTCGGTGGCAACATTCACACTCTAAGCAGTGAAGAACAAGATCCATCTGATAATAGAAATGTCTTCTGGAATGGGAATTCTACAGAGTTTGGAGGTGATGAAAAGAAATAGGGGATGACCGGACTGCATCGAAGTTAGATGATACTTGAACCATTTAATGGGGAAATAAATATGTTGGGAACGAACTGAGGTGTTAAACTACAGTGCTTATACATATGTTTGGAACAAATTGAGGTGTTAAATTACAGTGCTTATACATAACAAGTAATATGGCACGTGCAACCCTAGAATTTACTTTGTTCACCCCAGGAATGACCTTTGTTATTTCCGTACGAGCATATATAATTTGATGTAGTATCTCGTGCTTGGGTGTACAACCTTTGTGAGCTTTTACTAATTATTTCTTTGTAGTCTATTATGGCTGTAAATTTTTCATATATTTAGGCCTCCTTCGGTTCAAAAAAATAGTGGAGCAAACACAGGAAAAATAGAGGAGATTTTTCTTTGGTTTCAGTTTCAGAGAGAAAATGCAGGAATATTTTACAATTCACTTGGACCTCTTTTAATTTCCTCCGCATGAAGAATGAGATTGAGATCCTTAGTGGCATAATAACATGCTAATTATACCTTTCCATGTGGAGTATTCCTGTATAAAATTCCTATGTTTTTCCATCCTTTGTTTTACACATGCATTCCAATCCAATTTCTGCTGATTCTTGTTTTTTTTCCTTTCCTTTCCTGCGTTTTTAGAATCTTCTGAATCAAAAGAGGCTTTTAGCTCTTGTTACAATTTATGTGTTTCTCCTGTAGTCTGTAAAACACTTGGGATACTAATTCTACCCTAAAAGGCTAACTGTCTATGATGATTGTAGAACAATATGATGGTACATCTTATATACTTTTGGTCTGAACAATTGATGGTTGTAGAAGTTTTTGGTTCTCAGGTGATGAGACAAAGGGCGGGGACCAGACGATGCAAATAATTCATTGCAGGTGGCGGCGTGGTTATCTAAGCAAAGTTCACTCCACATGGGAAAAGATCGCCAAGATTGCCTTATATTTGTGCACGCCTAACTGCTTTGGCTTTCTCCACCTCTCTTCTCTGGAAACATCCCACCCTATCTTGAGAAATGCGCGGCTGCACATGGTGGCCCTTGTTGTGTCAAGTTTTTTTTTTTTTTTGAGGAATGTTGTGTCAAGGTTATTGATGGTGGAGCAGGCTTCAAGATTCGGGACACGATGCCTGATGAGAATGCAACATTTTTTTTTGATTGACGTATCCAGGGTATACTTTTTTAAAACAAAGACGCTAGAAACATCCGGCTTTAAATTAATAAAGCCATTTGGCAGCAGTCATACAAGGTTTTAAGAAAACAAAAAGACAATAAGCAGTTTCGCACGACCATCAACACACACAAGGTTCAGAAGCATGCATGCTTAAATATTACATCCATGGTACTCAGGCCACACGAGGCTTCGCCAAACAAAAGGCCTTCCCAAAGCATCTCATCCGTGCGTCGGTTCTTGTCTTGCCATTGTCTGGGTCGTTTTGATACGTGTCATGGCCTCCATCATGCGCTCAGCATCGCGCTCCTTCCCTGGCGGTATCAACTTCTGTAAGAATATGTGGCATTTGAAGATCACATCAGCGGGATGGTTAGGAAATTTCTTTTCAATTGTAATTTTGTTACGAGTCGTCCAAAGAGCCCACAATAACGCACCTACGCATTGCCAAGCTATTCCAGCGCCGGACCCATTTTGTGTTTTGAGCAAAGTGAGCAAGTCATCTCCCGATGCAGGGTTCCAATCCGTGTGGAATGCACCCCTAACCGCACTCCACGCGAACTTGGCTATGTGGCATCTAAAAAACATATGATTAACATCTTCTGCTAGGCCACAAACCGTGCAAGACCCATCCGGGGTATACTTACTATTACTTAGGTGGACCAACACCCTAAATTGGTAGCCTACTATACATATTCGGGGTCTGGGCATCACTTCCACCAGACCTATGAATCTATGCCTAATTGCTCGAAAAAAATCTATGCCTAATGACCAAATGGATTTAGCACATCGTTTGAGGGGACGACGGCCTCTGGCTTGACTGGATACGAGCTAAATACTTGAGGGGCCAATCCTTGTCGTGATGCTTCACCGCCAGAGGCTCCCAGTTCTGGCAGACGGTCCAATATCTCAAACCGATCTTCCGCATGGGGCGGTTGTCGCGGTTAATAGAGGTACAAACACTTTATTTTGGTTGGATTGTTGGTCTGGGTATGAACCCCTCAGCGTGCGGTCCCCTTTATTATTTGCCATCTATGAGCACCCATCGATCTGGGTGGCGATGGCCGTGGAGGATCAAGGACGAAACCTCACTTTCCATAGGTTCCTTGGCCCACTCGAGGCCGCGGAGTGGCTTGCGTTGTCCTCCTTGGTGGCTAGCCACTGGTACACCGACGTGGTAAACAAACAGTTTTTAACCCCTTTCCACGACAACATTTGGAACCGTCGCCAAGTGAGTGTGTGCGATAGGGTGTCCTTCCCACACGACCTAGAAATCGTCGGAGATAGGCCCTCCTGGGACCCAGGCTGGGGCCGTGTGCGATCTGGCGAGGCATCGAAACCCAATCATTTCCGTAGGTATGTACATCCCACACGGTAATCCGAGAAAATAATTTCCGTAGGTATGTACATCCCACACGGTGAATCCCAGAAAAACATTTCCGTAGGTATGTATATCACACGCGGTCAATCCAAGGAATTCGTTTATGTTCTTATGTACATCCTACACAGTCAATCCAGGGAAAACGTTTCCGTTCGTATGTATATCACACACAGTTCTTTGTGTGGAAACGTTTGTGCAAGGTGGCCTAACGCAAACAGTTCGCTGCCGGAAGCCGTGTGTGATTGTTAGTTGATCGAACACGCCTACTTTCTAGAAACCGTGCAGGTTGTTTGAGTTCATCGCCCACGGTGCTGTTGAGTAACCGTCTGCAATAGAAAACCCCAATAAGCAGGGTAATTAGCCTATTATTGATAATCCATGTACTAATCAAACTGATATTTCTTATAAGACACGCTAGATATTTCATATCCATATAAAAGCAACCAGGATTTCATAATCGAATTACATCAGATAGCTTCGGCACTCAGTTACGCTATTACACAACAGCACCAACCACCAAGTTTCACATGCAGTATCAAAAACCTTTGGAAAGTAGCATCATACACGACAAATAGACAGATGAATCTCATATGGGAAACTGCAGAAGCGGAAGGCAATTATTGAGCCTTTAGTGATGTTGAATGTCCTTGCAACTTTAGGCCAGTGGCTATGTATAATTGCCCGCCCAACCTTCGTCCTCTTCAGCAAGACTTCAATATTGCATCGTGGGTGTTGAATGAATCCCTTCCTTGCTTCTTGACCATGCAGGTGGTTTGAGAGGTAATCATTGGTGAACTGCTTTGAAAAGTACTGAAAACAAAGCTATGCATAAATCGCTGTTGTAAATTTTGAAATGGCGCAAGGGGTAAAAACAAGGTAAAAGAGTTGGTACCATCCTATAGTTGACTGATGTCTTCTTCATTGCGCAAACAAAGATCTTGCTGTTATTCATCGCAAGTTTCTTCATCCCAACAATCTTTCTGAGTTTCTTAACTTGACTGATATTCATGGAATTCTCATTTTCTCATATGCAAAATGGATCGAACAGTGGGTCTAAGCCTCTGACAGCAGGACCTAATGTGCAAGACCAAATTGTAAGAAACCTAAATATTAGAATGATTCTTGCAACTGCACAATAATGTGCTATTAGCCAAAGGACCCTGCTTGAACAAACCTCGATGGTAAACCACAGTGTCTCCCATTGTTTCCCTGCAACACACATAAGGAAGATCTTGATCAGGTTAACTGAGAGTTGCCATACTATCAGTAGAATATGTATTGAGTACAACCAAATTCGATTGGTGTCACATGCATAACAATACAAAATTGTACCCACAACAAATGAAAATCAAATTGCAGAACTGAACCAAACAGTTAAATGGACATCAGACCAAATGAACTAAAATAGTTAACTGAGCACGACATTGCAGAATAGAAACATGTACTCAAAGATAAGATAGTTAACAAAACAAAGAATGCTTGAGAACAATACTACAAAATGTAGCAATTGTTGGACCAAAGTGTTAACTGAACATTACATTTCAGAGGACCAAACTGTTAACTGAACATCAGATTGCATATTAACATTACAGAGGACAAATCACTAGAAGACACTGGCGGTGGCCTCAAGAAAACATCACGAACTGTATTTTAAAGTAGACAACCGCGTGGCGGTGTCGACGGTGGCCTCAAAGACGAGGTGCTCCTCCAAGATCTGGCGGTCAACACGCATGACAGCCATAGCGACCTCGTTCGCGCGTGCGACCGCATGCTACTCAGCTCCACATTATACTGCATGTAAAATGGCTGTGGGCGGCGCTTAATTGGAGGAGGGGGCAGTGATTTCGGTGGAAGGTGTCGCTCCATCGGTTGGGGCATGTGGGACGGGAAAGCAGGAGGATGGAGTGGGTGGGGTGTGGATTACCTGACCATATCGACGAGGCCGCACAGCAAGAAGAAGGGTCGGCGGCGAGGAGGCGGCGTTGCAAGAAGAAGGGTCGCCGACGAGGAGGTGGCGCTGCAAGAAGAAGGGTAGCTGGCGAGGAGGCGGAGCTGCAAGAAGAAGGGTCGCCGGCGAGGAGGCTGAGCTGCCAGTAAGCAGCAGTGAAGGTTTGAACTTGGAAAGCAAGGAGGAACAGTGGAAATGTGGCTTTTGGTAGAAGGGAGGGGGCGGAGAGATAGATATTTCTGTGGTGGCCAAAAACTTTCGCTCGGCGCCATGAGAAACTGGCATGCAAGTGTGTTCAAGCGAGGGCAATGGACTGTAGACGACGAAGCTTCCTGCATAAGCCAGACAAGACGGTGCGCCAAGATATTTTATATCGCATCCCACACGATTCTTTCTATTAAACTGTTTGTGGTATACCTAATTTTTTTATTATGTTTTGAAAGACAAAATGGTGTTACGGAGGGAAAGGATGGTGTTTGAATTGCTAGAACATTTACG